AATTTAAATCGTGCCACTTATTCACACACATCTGTACTGATGTTAAATTGTAGTATTTATACTATTCAGTATTTATTTAATATAATCCCTTGAAAATGCATTGTTAGAATTGTATGCTATTTTTATTATTTAATTTACAGTTGATGACCACCAGGATAAAGGTCCAGACCTTCACGAACCAAGGTGGGACTGTAAAGGCTGCAGAAGAAAATGTTTAGGAAAAGGTTTTCACTCTTGGCTTTGTTATGATGGAAAATGTGTTTGTCGATAAAAATAAATAAATAAATATATTAAAAGTGTTTTCTTTTTTTTTACATGTCGCAATTTGAATTTCATACAGCATCACTTTAGGTAAATGATTGACCAATCGATTAATTAACTGAATAATTAACGTAGATTAATTCACAATTAATTTGAATAGTTTTCAGTTGTTTTTTTAATTTTTATTTTCACTTCATATTAACATTAACATTAATTGGTCGTTTGTTAAGGTAACCCCATTGGTGGTGAAAAAGCAATAAATTTTACACTAATCAAAAGTGAGGAAAGGCTTCTAACGGGGATAAAATTTAAATAATCTTATTACAAAAAGGAAGATTTAACACTTAATACAGACTCATTTTTCATGATTGTTAGTAATAGATTTTTACTGTGAATTTTACGTCTTTTTGGGTAATTTTCAAAAAGAAAAGCGAACGAAAAAAGCAAATATAGCTTGAAGGGGTCAACCAATGAGTTGACGAAAACTAACATCATTTTAGTAATATACACAATATTATGTGACACAATATCTGGTCGTATTTACTTATACCTTACTGGATTACCAGAAACAAAGACTTTCTACCTTGAAAAATTGAACTATATAAAGGCCTTGTTACACGACGCGACCTGGAGCGGACAGGCGCCTCCTAATAAGAGTTTCTTTGATTTCTTTTTCTTTTTAATTTCATAGAAGGGGCTTTTTAATAAGCAAACATTGGCAAAGAAAATAACCTTATCAGATTTGTTTGTATAAACTTGTAAACAATTATCCTAATCTGTTTCCAGGAGTTCTGTGCCCATTTATTGGTATAAAAACACCAGAAATTTAGAAAACACTTCAAACCAAAAGAAATAATTGAAGGAAACTATTATCCACAGGTGTTATAAAACTACAAAATGAAATATTTAAAGGTTTTTATTTTTGTTGCTGTATTGTTTGCCATAACAGCATCTGAAGAGATTGCTGAACCATTACAAGAAGTAGAATCTGGTAAGATCATTTGTTTTTTATCAGTTTATTCATAGTTTACCTCATCATTTTTAAAATTAAGAAGTACATTGCCTTCAACACCTTGGTCTTATTTTCATTATAATTATTTCTATAATTACTGTTTTACAATGTAAGTATACATTTGTATATATAATTGCAGAGCGACTTCGATCAGTAGATGCTAAAGGAAATATTTGTTCCTCATGCTTTCATTTTTGTTTCGTAAATGGCTATAAGGGTGGAAATTGCGTAGGATCTTTCTGTCACTGCTGGTGAAATTACAACTTTTATACCAACATCAACATCACCTAAATATGTTTTGTTTCTACACTTCTGTGTTATTTTTGTATGTTTATATAAATATTTAGAATGAGCTGATTGTAACATAATCAATATATATATATAAATTAAAAAGACGTGCGTGTCTTTATAGTTTCACATAATTTAAAGCCACAACTGCTCAGTACAGTGTACAGTGTTTATGTGTGGTAGTAGCCTCGAGAATTACATTGTGTATTACGGTGGTTGAAAGTGGTCGACCTAAGTCATTATCACAATTCGACCAAAGTTTTCAAAGAAAATTTTGCAATACTCTATAGACAATGCCCGAAATTTCTCCAGTTCAGTGGGTGTATGGGTGGATTTGCTAGTCCACTGAACACCCGTTTAGAATACTTAAGTGAGAAAAAAAACTAAAAAACTTTTGGGTGTTTCATTCCCACCAGCCAGTAATGCTGGTGGGCGAGCAGTCCCTCCGGACTATGCCGGAAGGTAGGGCGGAAGGCCCTCTTCAGCCTGCTTTCAGGAATTGGGGGAATGGGTGGGTCGTGGTTCGGGTGAGAAAGATGAGACGGACGAAATGAAGACAGAAGAGAATGAAAGTTTATCTGTGGAATATTACTGCCTCAGCATTTGCCTAAGTGATCCAAGGAAACCACAGAAAAACTTGGACCAAGGCAGGCGGACCCGGAATCGAACCGGCGTCCTCCCGAATGCTAAGCAATGGTCTAGACCTCTAGGCCATGCCGCTCGGTTATTGTCTTCAGTTAGAACGTTCTCCAAAGTTCAAATTGTCTTGAACGTTCTGGAATATTCGAGAACCATTATGTATGAGCGGTGGGGATGGTCAAACATTGAATTTGTATTTCAAATTTTCAGTTTTCTTTACTAGATTTTAACACTAAATATAAAAAAAGAAACTTTACCACTGTTTGAAAAAAGGGATCTTCTTTGTTCATATGTCTGGATAACACATGGTTGAAATATATTTTTTCGACGTTTTTACTTCATTCAAGTATCTTGTACAATTTATGCATTGTAGGAAGGGTCAATAAGTATTTCCGAGTTTTCGTAAGAAAATAATAAAATTTATGCTTAAAAGAATTATTAAAAAAATCGTATGTAGCAGATTAAATGACCAACCAAGACGTAACACATAAGACCAAGATCAACACCGAGACTATATCAGCAAGACCAACACCAAGACCCAATAAACTAGATCAAGATCAGTATCAAGTCGGGAACAATGTTGGTTTTTATCTTGCTTTGCTCATCATTAATCCTGGCTAGAATGTTCTCGAAAGTACATGATTGTCCTCTGGTAGAAAGTTCTAGAGTGAACTGTGAACCCGAAGAATCGAGAAAATTCTGGAATATTCGAGAAATATTATGTAAGAGTGATGGAGCTGGTTATTGTTATACAAGGGCATTTTCATATATTTCCTAAAACATGTTTGAAATCTCTTATAATGATCGAGATTTATTCAGTCTGGTGTGCATTTTAGTGTGGAAGTCGACCACTAAACATCCCTTAAGAATAAGTGAATATATAAACCCACTGAAGCAGGCTGTCTCCGGCTAATGGTTACATAATATGATTTCTGCAAAAATTGTTTATCTATCAGTAGGTTTTTGTGACTCCTGTAATTACAACGATTTCTAGAACTATCTAGCGCATGTTTTCGAACTTATATACAAAAGCAATTAGGAAGTAGTTACACGCACTTGCAAGGTCCATAACAAGGATCCCTAACAAATTAATTAATTAATCATTACTGATTACAAAAACAAAACTGATAGCGGTCAATATATAAACTTTTGAAGGAACAAATATCTGTTTGTCTTGTTAAAGTTAACAAATAAAGGTTTGTCAATTTGCTTCTATTCGAAAGAATACGCGTATTATTAAATTAAACATAGTATTAATTACTATACTAATTAACTAAATTCACCAAAAAAAAATGAAAAGTACATTCGTTTTTGTTGTGCTTTTCGTTGTATTTCAATTATCATGGGCCGCAACAGGTCGTGATGGGCATTCTGATGGTGTTAAAACGACTCAAGATGGTATCCCAGACCACAGCAAAGGTATGAATATAATTAATCATAATAATACTAATTTCTAATTGGTTTTAACTAACGAAATATGAAGAACAAAATTAAACTCTATTTAAACACTTGTTATTCTTACTTGATATAAAGAGCACTTTCGATTATAGCGAACATTTTTGTACGGGAAATTTACATAGAAGTTAGGTCGGTTATAATGAACCAATATTTCTTTGTAAGTTTTATTTGTATGCGCTGTTTGTGTATTTCTGAAATAAATGTTGCCGATTTGTTTTAATAATCTAAAATATTAATAGAAACCACCAATTCCTGTAATTCCTATAATTTTATTTTATTACTTCCAATTTAAAGCCTTTCTTTCTTTAAAGCAATCGGTTAAGTTTTTCTTCTTATAGCCGGTAATTTTTAAAATAACGTTACTTAACGGAAGATTGACCCAGTTCCGAAACGTTGAACGCTGCCAATTACAATTCAAACAGCTTTACATATTATTTATGTCAAGTATTCGGTCAAAATAAAGAAACACTTCATCGTATTGATAAAAAAATGATAATCAAACTATGCTTATATTTCGATTATGCTTCATTACGTCTATCTTTATGAAAATTATTTTCCACGTATCTTTTTCTGACAAACAAACAAAACTCTCTTAAAAATTCTTTAATGACAGCTGGGAATATCAAAAAACTTTCTTTAAATTATGTTTAGTTCATGTAGAATATTAAATACCTACAGGAAGGGTGAATTATATTAACTTATATTTCAGAAAATCACCATGACGATTCTGTACCATCAACAGGAGACTGTAGTGGATGCAAATCGTATTGTTTAGGAAAAGGATACAGTACGTGGAGTTGCCAAGATGGACGATGTTCTTGTAATAATTAAATGAAACAATCTGTTATTATCAACATTGTTTTAATGACTGTTATATAGTTTGTAAATAAATAGTACAAATTTTGATTTCTCTTGTATTTTATTGCAATCTTTGCTCTAACAATATTTTGATTATTAGTTGTGTAATTTGTACGAGAATTTCAATGAAGTCAAAAAGTAACTGAAATATGACCTCTTCTGGAATATTTAGTAGGACCATTAAGGAATTAATATAACAACAACCGAATTTGAATACAGCGAACATGGGTTATAACGAACGCTTGATTTCAATCAATGAAATTTAAAGAACAAAATTATACTCCATTTAAATCCCTGCTATTCATACCGACACCTTCAACTTTAATTATCTTTAATCAATTCGGATTTGAGAGCGGATTCGGAATCAGAGAATTCTCTATACGCACAAAATAAAATGATGTAGCTACAATACAATTGAACTTTTAATTTTAAATAGTAATCTGTTCATTTCAGCCATTTTAATAGCGTATTTTGCTAAATCCAACTTATTGTATTAAGTATACAAATATACAGAAATTTTTTAACGACATAGAAAGACTTCAAACAAAAAACGTTTCCCAAGAATATTATTTTTATTGAATGATATAAATCAACAAATTGTATATTTTGACCAATTGGGCCAACTTCTCTGAGAGAGGACTCGCGTAATGTTCTTGTAACCCAGAAAATTAACGATTAGTATTATAAAATTGTTTTAAACCACTACGAAGTATGTTAGTAGGTAGGACGATGTTTATACTTTATATTTGCGCTAATAATGAAGTACAAATGTAGTTCATATAAGAGTCACCGTAACAACTTTAACACTTACAGATGAACATCAAACCAAATTTATAGAAAATGTTTCCAGTGATATTTAGTGTATGTTTTGATTAAAGGTATGTAGCTAGCACAAATAATCATATTATTTAATTGTAAGTGACATACTTTCTAACTATTTGGAATTAAACTTATCTAATTTATTATATAGAAAAATTTAAGGTGAATATATTGAGGTTCTTTACAAAATGCCTAAGTAATAAATACCATTTTTTAATATTTATTTTATCTGTGTTACTTCTAGCGAATTTGCCTACAGAGTAATTTATTTTATAAGCCACTTCAAGACCAACGTTTGTATCTAGAAAAAAAATGTTGTTTCCGAGGGTAAAACCTATCATAAAATATTGTACACATTGTCAGGGTACAGAAAAGAACGTGGGGTACCTTTTATATACAAAAAATACTGTTTTCGAGGGAAACTATTAGTTTTATGTGATCGTCGATGATCTTTGACACGTATACATATAGGACATCAACAAGTGCGAAGCGGCGGGTTAAATCTATTACGAAATTTTGTACACACATTATGAGGGATATAGAAAAGGACGTAAGGTACTTTTTATCCAGAAAAAATACTGTTCCCAAGGATCAGAAATGTAGTCGTCGGTGACATGTATTTAAGAAATGAACGCGTACTTAGTTAAATTTTTTGTTTTCAATTACTACATTAAAATCAATTTTTGTTGTTTCTCATAAGCATATTAACTGATACTTTTGCTACAAATACCAATAAATTTTATCCTTTCTAGATGGTGCTGAGCGGAGTTGGAGAAGTGACGATTCTTATCTGTGCTTGCTTGTTTATCTTCACTGCACCAATTTTGCTTCACGCGAAAAAGAAACCCCACAAAATGGAGATGACCACAACAACCGAACCTCCCCCAGAACATCACGATCATTATCATGACTACGAGGACTTCCCCCATGACAGTTACAAACCCCCCGATCGCAGATACATATCCTACAATAAGCCTTCGTATCATGATCGAGGATCGTCTTTCTATGACATAAGGAAAGATTCGTATTACAAAGCTTTAGTTAACTCTTACAATTCAGCATACAAAAATTTGTACCAAAACGTGTACGAAAGCGTTAATCATCAAGACAAGCATGATAGATTTAGGAGAGGAGCTTCTAAAAACGCTGATTATTCTTCAGGAGAAGTTCTAAAGGAATCTGTCGAAGTTCCCACTCACGAGATGCCTCTTGATGAACTCCACCTGCTTGAAACGGCTCTTAATGCTACGCACGAGTTACGACCCAAAAATAAGATATCAAAGAAGAAGAAACAAATTTACTTGAAAAATATCATGAATACTAGAAGAAAACGGTCATTAAATAATGTTATAAAAAATACACGTGATGGTAGTGAACGTCAGAAACCAAAATACAAAAGAAATAGTTTAAGTGATGGATTTAGCAAAATAATTAAAAAACGACTTAAAAGAACTGCTGCAGATACAGATGCAGATTCCAGAAAATCAGAAAATGGATTTTTTAGTATGATTACTTTACCAGAAAAGGACAATGAATATAATGACGAAAATATGGAAGTAGAACAAACTACACGACGTCATAGATTAGTTGTTCCGTTAATGTTTTAAGTATGTCATCGTGTAATTTTTTGATTTATGTAGAGACAGTTTCAATGTGTGAAACCTCTGTGATTTAAAATTATTTATTTATGAGGAGCTTTTCTTCGCTGCTTCGCTTCGCTTGTTTCTCCATAAAACCTTTTAACTCCCAATTCACCCCCAGAAAATTTTATATAAAGTCGCCACCCCAGATTTCAAATACAAACGTAGCAACATCATTTCATCCTTAAGGGTTGATTTTTAAAAATTGCCAAAACACGTATCTGCTTAATTTCAACAATGAGTTGCTCTTTTGAGTAAATCCGATTACGAATAAAATTAATTAATTTGAGTAATTATATCAAAGAGCATAAATACCAAGTTTCAAATAAATTCACCACAAATAAAATATGTCCCAAACAAAAATTGCAACCCTCCTTTGGCGGTTGAATTTTTTAAAATGCCGAGATAGGTGTTTAAGATATTACATGAGAGAACATTTTAAAAATGCTGAAGTAGGTGTTTGAGTTTATGCCAATGAGCATAAATATCAAAAACAAAAATGTCAAAATTTATAACATCCAAATGTCCGGATTTTCCCGTGTATTTTCCAAAAATTTTCTTTCGCACAAACCTTGTCCTGTCAATTACAAATACAAAAAACCTCCCTCGGACTTCAAGGAATATCTTAACAAAAAATTATCGAAATTGGTCCAGCCGTTCTCAAGTTTTGCGCTTAGCAACACAAATAGCAATCCATTTTAATTTATATAGATTAGAAGTAGTTTGTTAGGTTATTATATTAAGTGATACACATATACCTTTACAAAAATAAAAAGTAATCCAAAACCTTTCTCCAACAAGACGTCAAAATAATGTTAACAAAGAATTTTGTACTTTATAAACTAATTTTATTATAGATGTTAACTAATCAGCTAAAAGGAAAAAAAGAAAACAGTAAACAAACATCCACTAACTTCTCAAAAAACTATTCGTTTAATAAAGTTATTATGATGATATTTTTACAAATAAATGCGTATGATGGACTTAGATGCCGAATTCGGACGGATGGCAAAATAAATTAGCAGATCGCGGATTGTTTAGATTTAGAGTAATAAAATGAGCCTGTTTCGAGTAGGTGTAAATAATTTCTCATGAGATACCAAATTATTAATTATGCAACATCTGCAATAGCTGAATTTGAACCTTGAAGAAATTATTAGCTACACGATGTTGTGAGCATAGAAATATAATTTTAGTTTATTGATCTGTCATTAGTCCCTACAACTGTAAACTTTTTTCCAACCCTTAAAATAACTTTTGTTGGGCCACCCTGTATAGGTAATATTTTTAGTGATCAAAATACAAACCCGAACAGTGGGTTCCTTCGTCCTTACTAAATAAACATAATATTCACTTGTTTGAGAAGATAAAAAATTAATTTCTTATCAGAGACAAGCAATTTCAGTGTTTTATATTTGTAGCTTACTACACCTATTTTGAATGTAATCAATTATGTCTTAAATTTTAACGTATCTGAATGAAATCAATTTCATGAAGAGAGTAATTTTTATAAAATAAGAACAGAAATACAGTGCCCGCTTGTAGGGGTACGAATCTTCCATGTCGGGCGGTTCCAAGTACTCCGAGATCTAAGGGACGCCAAGCGTCGCCCTGGTAATATTGTTTATTATTATTTATTGTAACTGAGTAAAATAAATGTAGGAAGTTTGTTTTTTAAAAGCAAGTGTGTAAATGTGGCTGCATACCTTTCTCAATATAAAATCTCTAAGTTTGAACTTTACATTTTTTACGAGATAGAAATTAGGAATGTAATTTAGGAAATATGCTTAAAACTGTAAAAAGTGTAATAAAGACTTCATTTCCAAATTTTCTTAAAATTTAATTTTNCGCAAATTGTATCTACTCCCAAAATCAGGCATATGAAACAAATAGAATAACACAAGAATACCAATAGTAGTTATTTAAATGATGTATATCATGTATATTTGAATTAAAATTTTTATCATTTCAATTCAACAATCGGAACAACTTCAAATTTTAAATACACAAGTGGGTCGAGGTCACAATATAAGCAAACTAATTTAAAGTTTTCATTGAGGTGTCTAAATAATACGCGTGCACAAATGCGGAAATTAATAAAAAAACACCCCTAACAATACAATAATTAATTAATCTCAAGAGGAGCTGCTCTAGGTCTTATAAAAGCGAATTACAAGATACGGTGAATATAAAAAAGATAGTTTTGCTTACTGCTAAGTACATCGCGATACAATTTATTATTTCATGTATTTTACAACGAACATGAAGAAAATTCTTCTTTTTGCGGTTTTTATTGTATTATTTGTAAGTAATATAAGTGCATTCCCATCAGATGAAAAAGAATTAATAGAAGGTACGTTTTTCAATTTGCTTCAAATAATTACTTTAATAATACACTAGTTCTTCCCCCCTATCAGCCACTGTTAGCTCGAAACCACACCATTGCTTCGACTGGTCGAAATTCACTTTTGTGAACAATATGTTTAATCAATTTCTTTGTGTTAAAAGTTGTTTGATAAATTAAATGTAAAGGAATTGTTCGTAAATAGGTATGCAACACATCGTACATTTCAGTATAAGAAATTGCTGATACTAACTACGTAATACTACTTTGTTCTGTGCTGACAGCGATCATAATTTCTTTTACATATAATATTCTTGTTTAATGACAACAAACAAACACAACGCTTAAATTAAAGAACAGTTTATTAACGTCATTACAAGACCATTTAATCATACACTGACTTCTTGATAGTTGAAAGAAATAATGAACTTATAGTTACACTACTAACAAAGCGCCGGGGTCGATTCCCGGCGAAGGTGTGACAACAGCAACAATTTTTTCCTCATTAATTTGCGTGGATAAAAATTAAATGAATTGTCAATTATTGAGTTATTTTTTTATTAAATTCTATAACGGTTTTTCATTGTGTCGTAAATAACAAAAACCTATTAAAAATTGTACAATAGTTGTAAAATACATAAATTAAATAAGCTGTTAATAAGAATTTAAATAAAAAATTATCGTGCCACTTATTCACACACATCTATACTGATGTTAAATTGTAGTATTTATACTATTCAGTATTTATTTAATATAATCCCTTGAAAATGCATTGTTAGAATTGTATGCTATTTTTATTATTTAATTTACAGTTGATGACCACCAGGATAAAGGTCCAGACCTTCACGAACCAAGGTGGGACTGTAAAGGCTGCAGAAGAAAATGTTTAGGAAAAGGTTTTCACTCTTGGCTTTGTTATGATGGAAAATGTGTTTGTCGATAAAAATAAATAAATAAATAACATTTTAAATACGAAGATTATAAATAATGAATTGGATATCGCATTGATGGTCTCCTTCTCTTGGAACCATAGGTTACCCGCCTTTTTGGTGGTTTATTTGGAGGTATCTTCTTTGCTTTTTGGTATCTGTATGTAAACATTGGTCTAAACATAGCAGCAGACGATTCAGCTGTTTCCATATCATCATCTACTGCTCCATTAAATGATCTTCCGTTAACAGGAAATTCCAAAGATCTTCCCCCTTGGGCTCGGGAACTCAAATAGGGATTCATCTGTTCCATATAATCTTCAGACGACAGCTTATTATTTTCGTTAAAATTTTTGTATTCATCTACTAGTAAATCATCATAAGGATCGAATGCTTGAAATGAAAAGCTTCTTTGTACATTATCATTCCCGTATTTAGACAAAGAATGTTCTTTTAAGGGAATAACATCTTCTACAAAATCTGCTCTCTCTCCTTTCTCCTGGGGTTGGGCTAAAATCACTAGCTCCTCGCTGATGCTACTCGGACTTATTCTGTCTAAACCGTAGGAAAACCTTAAATTATCCAGCACATTTTGCTCAGGCGTGTTTTTAACGTTCCTTAAATTATCAAAAGCATTTGGTTGAAACAACGGTACTAAAACATTTCTTTCAAAATGTTGCCCTTGTTCTGGAGCAAGCAATGGTTGAAGTGACATCTGAAGGGAACTAATAGTGTGTGGTTCGTTCCCACCTTCTTCCATGTCGTCGAGGGGAAGCTTTAGATCTGTTACTTTTTGTAGATCAGCATCTTTTATACTAGACAGAACTTCTTCAGGAGAATTTGCTTCATTTAATGATGAAGACGAACGTTCAGATGTTGGCAAAGAATGTGAAGATTTGTGAAATAAATAAAATGCCTAAAATTAAATAGACTTCGTACATATCAGGAGTAAGTGCAACTTGAATCCAATTTTAATATAAACTCTCTCAAATTGTTTTATTTTCTTTTAGTGTCTTATGAAAATTATGTCTTTATGATACACTTACCAATAACACTGTTAACTTTATATACCTGAACATTATGAACAAAAAATTACTACAACATTAGTGTATATACACGTAAATAGACTATCTCTGCGACAAGAAATCCTTATGGATTTATATATAGCCTTTGGAAAAATATTCTAACGGGTATATTTAACGTTCTTGTTAAGTTTTTTTATAAATATTTTGTTTCAGGTGTTCTAAATTTTATCGCGGTTTACTGAAAGAGTTTACTTAACAATTAGAGGTAAAGTACACTTTTATTAGCCGACAAACGTAATGTGAAGCACCAAGTACCTACCGTTATGATTTTAAGAGAAAGAAATCCATGGAATTGTACCATAAGTAATGCTTTAAAAATAAATTTTAGAATATTAATTTCAGGTTGAAAATGTATGTGCATCAGACGCACTTTTAAAACCTTTGATAAATAAATACTTTATATTATTATACTAGCGACCCGCCCCAGCTTCGCACGGGGGCAATGCTGATACTAAATATATTTTTGTTTTGTTTAGATTAATAATTCACAGTTTTTTTGTCATTAGACAATACAAACCGGCCTCCCGGTCGGTACCGCCGCAACCGCTATGTCCCTGCATTTTAAATCTGTAATATCTTCGAAAATATTCATTTAAATTACATGCTGTAAAGGGCCATATTGATCTATATTAAATGCACAATGTATTTAAGGTACTTAATTGGATAAGAATTAATGCTGTATTGCCTACAATCGCTTCGTAAATAAGTCATTATTTCTCATAAAAAGTAAAGGATAAAAATGGTTATTGTGGGTTATCCCTAAGAGATAGACATATACCATCGCGGACTTTTTTGTAGACCCTTTTAAGATGTACAATATTGTAGTACATTATTTTGATCTATCTCGTAGGGTTCAGCCAGCGTTTGCAATGTAAGCGCAAAAAATGTGTTTATTTACGACATCACATTAGAAACCTCTAAAATTATCAGTGTTTCCTTTCTATATACATACAAACATTCCTCTTGAATCACTCTATCTTTAAAAAAAAAACGCATCAAAATCCATTGCGTAGTTTTAAAGATTTAGGGACAGACAGCGGGAAAGCGACTTTGTTTTATACTATGTAGTGAATGAAGGATATTTTTATTTTAAATATTGAATTTCGAATCAAAGTAGCATTTCATCAGATAATTGTCAATGTATAAAACGCCATAATTTCGAGAAGGGTTCTTTCAATTTCTTTTTTCGTAGTTCGATTAAAATTATTTGTAACTTCTTTGACTAATAATAACTAAGGAACGTTTGTGACAATGTACGTAAATTTTCGAGAGAACAAAATAAGCATGCCCAATCTAGTTGATGAAAAATCGTCAAGTTCCAGTAGAACTAGCAGTTCAACAATAAATATAAAGTGCTCGTTTAAAAATTTACCGAAAGATCGTATAAAATCTGATTCTGTAGAAGATTTGGTGCTCGCTGTACCGCCACAAAATCAAGATAAAAAAGAAGAAAAATGTCCAAAAGAATTGATAGTTAGCAGCACGTCTTTCGACAAGCTGCGTGAATTTTCTTACAACTCAGGTCTTTATTTGCTCAAACTTTTATTTTTGGTAAGTACAAGATTAGAATATTATAGATATATAGATTTGCAGATGATATAGCAGTATTATTAGCACCTAACAACGAATAATTAGAGTTAACTTTAAATAAAATGGAAGCGATATTGATAGAATGGTAAATTAATAAAAAAAAAGTAAAAATTTTGGTATGAAAGGTATGCAAAAGTAAGTTTTTATTACAACAACAAGAGGGGACGCTAATCTAGAAGAAGAAGCCCATTTTCGATATTTAGGGAGTCAGATGACTTAAGATGGAAATGCCTCTAAAGACGCTAGAGATATAAAATAAAGAATAGTTTAGGGTCGGGTCACTTTTAAGAGTTTGTTGGTTGGACACACACCCCCACTCTTTCCTATCCTTCGCATTTCCCTCAAACCATAGAAAATCCTCATCCATAGCAGAAGAACAGTAATCTCGACTAGGTCCACCTCTACCCCTCTTAACTCCTGTTTCGCTTCCAATTTTTCTCCAATTAGCTCTTCATGTCTGAAAAAGTGTCCTATAAACCTCTCGCCTATTTTTTATTGATTTCCATAGCGCCCGTTGCTTTCCTACTGTTTCCAATATCTCCTCATTCCTAACCCTTTTCTATCCACGGTATCTTCATCATTTGCCTGAAACACCACATTTAGAACGCTTCTAACCTTTTCTTTTCTTTGATAATGATAATAAAAAAGGATGTAAATATACTGGGTGTCCGAATCGAGAGTCCATTAAATGTAGAAAATCGAAAAAGGTCAATATTGAAAAATGCACTCTCCTCTTTTTGCTTAATAGAAAGTCTGTTTTTCTTTTATGTTGCAGGGTACAGAAAACCTAATAAGTGGTATAAAATTTATCATAAACAGTGAAGAACCATGGAATTTATTGTCGATCGTGTTTTGTGTCTGTTTTGAAGCGTTTGTTTATTTGGTTTTAGCCCTTGCCACAATATTTATTGCAACAATTTTATCAATTTATTCACAATCACCTAAACAAGTGCATGACTTAGAATCGGGTAAGTATTAAATGAAACCCCGCTTAAGACAATACAATTTGAAGTTAAATAGTAATATTTGGAAAGAACTTTTTTTAACATTAATGACACATTGTTTTTTACTAATTGACAGATCTAATTATGAAAATATGAAAAAAATCCCCCCCCCTAAAACTAAAAAGATTACCGAATTAAGAGACTTGTTGAAGAATTCTGTTGTAAAATATATATACGAAAAAGTTAACGATAAATGGCGAATATATTAAAAAAACCTAATTACAATAGATTCACCAATTAAGTTCATTATCAAATAATTAAATTAGTTTCTAACACGAATCATGAGTGATATGAGAATGTTCCATGATACAAAGAGTGAATTATCTGAGCGATGCTCGTTCATTATAAATAAATTATTAATTTCAACACAATTAGTTAAGGATCTCCAAGATACTATTCTCAAACGCATTAGAAACGTTTAAATTCTGCTCAATCTATTGTTTTATTTTAAAAAATAATTTACGCCTTTATAGACATAGCAATCTTGTAAGATAAGTTATTTAAAATATGAATGCATGTTATGTGCCCTTAGATAATTTCAGATAAATTTTATGCTATCAAAACTACCGATGAGAAAATTCAAACATCATCATCATCATCTAATCAGTCTAGAAAAGTGTAATCTACCCTTTGTGTCATCAACTACCCTGGAAAGTACAAATACTTACATTCTCTAGTATATTCTTTTGGAACAAATTTTTAGACAGAACCTTTTCGTAACTAGAACAAGTCGGAATAATAATTAGCACATCGAACAAATTAGAACCTTTCCAGAACTTTCATTTTAGTCATATTTAGTAGTTTAATTTAGTATAAGTTTTTTGTTGTCTGTTTTCGAACTAGTTAATCATCAAGACAAGCATGATAGATTTAAATTAAACATAGTATTAATTACTATACTAATTAACTAAATTCACCAAAAAAAAATGAAAAGTACATTCGTTTTTGTTGTGCTTTTCGTTGTATTTCAATTATCATGGGCCGCAACAGGTCGTGATGGGCATTCTGATGGTGTTAAAACGACTCAAGATGGTATCCCAGACCACAGCAAAGGTATGAATATAATTAATCATAATAATACTAATTTCTAATTGGTTTTAACTAACGAAATATGAAGAACAAAATTAAACTCTATTTAAACACTTGTTATTCTTACTTGATATAAAGAGCACTTTCGATTATAGCGAACATTTTTGTACGGGAAATTTACATAGAAGTTAGGTCGGTTATAATGAACCAATATTTCTTTGTAAGTTTTATTTGTATGCGCTGTTTGTGTATTTCTGAAATAAATGTTGCCGATTTGTTTTAATAATCTAAAATATTAATAGAAACCACCAANCAATACTTGCCTACAGTAGGCTACTAAATTGATTTTATTACCGAATCAATTAGTAGGTAAATGTAATAAACAAAGGACAAGAAACAAATTCGGTAGGTATCTAATTGATATCTGATATGACTTTATTGGTGTATGTTTGAATACGGGTTAAATGCGCAAATAATTTAGATAACAAATACTTGAAATAAAACTAATTTTATATGAGATCAATTTTACCAGATAAACGACTTTAGATAGTCGAAAATATTAGTACTGATAATATTTTTTCGATATTTACAGGCATCTCTTTTGTTTCTTGTCTTATCCACATATGTTTGATGGGTCAAATTAAAAAAGTATTACGAGAAACTATTTTAATGATGATTGAAAAATGTTTCTTTTTTGTAATTTTGTAATATTACCTTATACCTCGGTAAATTTGTGGTTTGTTCTTTTGAAAAAAAAAAACTTAAAGCCTATTTAAATATGTAGAATATAAAAATGAAATGAGCTAAAATATGAAAAACCAAACAATAAACTTGGATTAGGTATGCAAATAGTTCGTTAATCACTGGAATTGAGTCTTCATCTTCTTCCCTAGTATGTTTTATGTTCCCCCCAAGAAAATATAATTACAATATTACGAATAAAGATGGGGCATAGTGGTGGTTGATTTAGAAGTTTAATTTTTTCACAGCTCTAAGGGCTTGCAAACCTAAGTATTTAACATTATTTTCAACTTGATGAACCGTGAAAATCTGGTTCAAAATTTGAAACATCTTTCTAAATCAAATGTTCAATATCATCTCCTGAATATGGACGCGGGCAGCAATGGGACTAAGTCCTCGGCAAAACCACTACGGTTAATGGTTCATGTCTTCATTTTGCCAAGCTTTTCATTAAGTACCACCCTCACGAACGTCCCAAACCACATTAATTTCAGTTCAAAACACGCTATTTAAATACTAAACCGATAAAATTTTAATTTTTGGTTGGTGGATTTTCAATGAGAGGGTTGAGTTGAAACAGTTGAAATAAGCCTTCAATGTTTATAAATATTAAAAGAAAATAACATACTAACAAGCGCCAGGAATTGTAGCAATTAGGCCATATTGATGTATCTTGTTAACGACAAAAAGTAAACACAAGAACTATATCACAATAACAAATAATTTAGTATAATAATCGATAAATAAAACAAATTAGAACAAGCGATCTATGCAATCGTAATTACCAATTTTTATTAAATTATCATTGCTGGTGTTTGTTTTCTTCATTTTTCTCTGGTAGGATTACCCAGCACTGGCGGGTACTCGGTGTCATTATCCGGTACCCGACGGATCTGGCAATTTTTTAGGATTCGGCCGGGTTCCCGGTCCATCTCTAGTATACATGTATATAGGTAAGGCAAAACGTCAATTGAACATAAAAATTACGCATTTCATTTTCGAAATTCTCTTCTTTTGTATCGCATTTGGTGCACATGTGAAATATATTTTTTCAACTACGCCTATCTGAAAGTATCTGCTTCCCTAAAACTGTCCAAAACTAGCTCAAAATTTTTTGGAAAACGCATTACAAACCTCAAAACCTCTAAATTGCATTTATTGGATTTATGTTGCTTTATTATTCATATGAAAAATTGCAGTATTTGTACAAATTTTCCATTTTTTAAAAGACGATACCGCTCTTTGATGATTGCGAAGAAATAGAATATCTTTACGACCACTTCCCAACCCGCCACTAGCATACACCTAATATTTTGGACATACGGACTTTTTATGAGGAAGTAGTTGGGAATTAATCTAATCAAGTACATACAATTAGTCATAAAGGAACTATTAACTATCGTTTACTTATTTTTAGTCAGTAAACGGAAATTTACCGTACCGGAACCAACTTATCACCCAGAGCAAAATCAAAATTTAATTTGGATTTCTGACCTAAGATATCTGAATTAAAAAAGTTAAATTTTGTGTTTCGATGGTAAGTCCAGGAACTGGTAGTGAGTAATGGGGAACACATGAGCATTGCAATGGCGATTTTATTAATTAGGACATTATTTTCCCATTAAGTATTTCAATAAAGTTTTTGAACGCACTCCCTCGAAATTGTACATAAATAATTTTGCTTAAATAATAGACCTCATTTGTGTAAAAACTACTGTAGGAGTGAAGTGTTCAAGTTAAACAAAAATGAAATTTTCAGTTTCTTCTGTCTTCTTCGTAAGTAAACTTAATTTTGTTTATTTAATTGGGAATGGCGCATAAAGTGTTGCATATGTTCTATTGCTGTAGAATTTATTTAAATTTAGTTAGTTATTGTGTGTATTAATTGTGTAGACAGTCAAAATAGTTTTCTGGTTTAATTTATTTGTGAATTATTTTATGTAAATAGGGAAGATAAGTCAGAAAATACAGAAAAAAATGGTTTTCACAATGCTTATAATTTTTTACTTTCTTATTTTCTTTGGCGTGTTCTAATGTTTAAAAAAATTGATCATTTTATGAAGTTAAAGATTTTAATGCTTTGCTAGTTTTCCTAAATTCGATTGTCAGAAAATACATAAAAAATTGGTTTTCACAATGCTTATAATTTTTTACTTTCTTATTTTCTTTGGCGTGTTCTAATGATTAAAAAAATTGATCATTTTATAAAGTAAAAGATTCTAATGTTTTGCTAAGTTCTCAAACTCGATAAATACGATGCGTTTAAATGCCTAAAATGCGTTTCGATGTCTACTGTATCTCAAGATGATACTTTGCACATCGAAGCCTATTTTAAGTTTTTAAAGGCTTTAGTCCAATGTTGGGTAAAAGCTTTTTGTATTGTTAGAATATCCGATGTATCATTATTAATTAATACAGTACTTTTGTTCTTTAAACTTATCGTTTATTCAGAATTATATAATTTACACGTACAGTATCTCGCAAGACGATATTTTTTGAGTAGGTGGTAATGGTTGATAAAATTTTGATAATTCCCTGATTATTTTTTTATTGCCATTTTGTACACATTCGGTCTATCGTTTGACCTTCGCTTTCTAATGATTATTTCATTAGTTTAGATGTTAAACTTCCATTTATAACCAAGCATTCCATTTGGTAATCTAAAAATATCTAGACATTTACCCATTAGCATGAAAATTTATGAGAACGACATATTGTATAAAGATGATATCATTATAAACCACCTTTCCTATAATTTTGATTTTATTGTATGTATATGTATATATATGTATATTTTAATTTTATTACTACATATACCGTTAATACATATAACTAACAGAAAATAGTTGAATTTTAATCTACAATAATCTTTTTTTTTATTCTTAAAGAATTTGCCTTCCTCTTCAAAAAATAGAATAGCAGAAACGTTTTTGTACATTTGGCCCGAATCAAAATTATATCATTACTAAAATTTATAGAATACTTTGAAGTGTTTTTAGTAGTGTCTCTCTGTAATATCCAAATTACTGTATTGTACATTGCTTTGATTTAAAAAACTAAATATAAAATAGGGGAAATAGAACGATCAATTTCATCTTTAAAACAGTCGAACCGATTTCGATGGGACTTTTATTTACACGGAATAAAGGCTATACCTACATATAGAAAATGAAATAACCAACACCCAAATGTAACGTACGCATGTACATACATTATACAATAGGCACTAACTGGAATATTAAGAATCTTTTGAAAGCAAGGTCGATACAGCTTAAACAGGAAAATGTTTTCTAGGTAATACAATACTTGCCTACAGTAGGCTACTAAATTGATTTTATTACCGAATCAATTAGTAGGTAAATGTAATAAACAAAGGACAAGAAACAAATTCGGTAGGTATCTAATTGATATCTGATATGACTTTATTGGTGTATGTTTGAATACGGGTTAAATGCGCAAATAATTTAGATAACAAATACTTGAAATAAAACTAATTTTATATGAGATCAATTTTACCAGATAAACGACTTTAGATAGTCGAAAATATTAGTACTGATAATATTTTTTCGATATTTACAGGCATCTCTTTTGTTTCTTGTCTTATCCACATATGTTTGATAATTATAAATTACTGGATGTGAATAAAACATGCAATTCTAATTTTTTTCTTTTTTGTATACAACAGCTTATTGGCTGTCTAGCTTACAGCTATTCGCAAAGCCCAGAGTCTTCTCTAGGTCCTGGAAATGCTTTGGTGAACTTACTTAGTGGAAAACAAGGATGGACAGAGAATGGACCCATTCAAGAAATTCCTATTGAATCTTATCCCTTGTAAGTGACATTATCAATAATGATATCACAAAACAAAGTAATACAGATTTTATTAAACTAATTGGTTTTAAATTAACGTAATCCTAATTTGCATAGATCAAGATATCAGCAAAACAAAAGACATTACATGCCTTCAACGTTACTCACTTCGGTCGTGTTGGCTTTTCTTACCATATCATAAGCTAACTGAACTTTATCAGAACGTTACAGTTAGAAACGACAACACCAACGAAGTGGGCTGTACTTTTTTGTTTTAATACATGTTTCTTCTCTTTGATTTTCATAATATAAGATTGAGTGCCCTAGTGAAAATTTAAGATGGTAATGGTTCTACATTTATCGAATTCTGTTGTCATATTTGCAGATAAAATTTTTTTTTTCGTCCCGGTTCCACTTGGTTTGCTTCTGTACCGACACCCAGTAGCTTAGTACTAGTCTGCCTTTAGAAACCTGTTATACAATGGCATTTTATTCTTGTTTTTTTAAAATTGTTATATAATTAGGTAATTGTGTAATTATTTTCTGATTCAGATCTGATAAGCCCCAACTTTTCGCCGCCCAAATCGAACTTCTGAGACTTCTGGAAATGTTAGTCCAAGTTAAAGGAGAAGTCTTCAGCCGAGTGAACGATATCGTCCTTAACAACTACGAACTCATCACTGCAATCCTGAATTTATTGATAAACAAAATCAAAGCTCTGCATAATTTCTCTTTGGCTGGCTTGAGCGTGGTACGAAGAATCTTGGAATACGCTGCTGACGCGTTCGCTCATTTGGGAAACCAACCTCTGCAATAAATATTTATTAACATATCAATTCATAATTTTTAATAATTTATTTGCATTGTCAAGTCAGTAACGTACTGTTTAATTAAAAAAATGTGCTGTACATAATGTCTTGTTGTATTTAAATTTTGTTTCATTGTATTCAATTTGTAAATGTACCTAATAGAAAATCAGAATTTCCAATAAAGTTATTATTTGTTTCAAATGGTACTTATGACTGAACCAAAACGCTTCCATGGACTAAAAACGGAATTGATCCTTATCAGTTAGATAGTTTTTCTTACCATAGTTGATACTATACATATTCTGTTACCATCAGATCTCTTATAGAAATGGTTTTACATAAGAAGTTCTAAAGTATGGATAATATTACTCATAATTTGTACTTAAGTGCACAACAAATTTTGTATTAACTTTTTATTCAAACAATAAACAAAATATATATTGGTTTCCAAAATGTTTGATGAAAACATCCTTATATAAGAAAGTTAAATTTAAATATCATTGAGTAAGGAATAGTAATTTTTGGTCGCACTTAGTCATTTGCATTATAATTGCAATATATGGCAGGGCTTTCGCAAGATTCGAGTCGATCTGTAGTCTTGTTTTGTCCTAAAAAACCACGACAATATCAAAAACAAGATGCTTATATGAAATCGAGGTCAAGATCGAGATGAATCGAATTTTGATTATTATTTTTCGATAACAAGACAATAATTTGACAAAATATCTTACGGTTTTGTATTGCGATATAGCCCTATGGTACGGTCTTGGGTATTCTTGGTTTATTTCACTAAATTATAAATTCTAACAATAGTTTGGGCTACTATTATAAGCCCTTAAGTTATGGTTCAACAGACGAAACAATTATCTGTTTTCACACAATTGTGAAATAAACCGGGATGTCGAAACTAACCAACAGCTAACCATTTTTGTGATAAGTAGTTACTATCTCTTCTGTACAGCAATTTGGAACAGTCTATAATATACAATTATTAACACGTACTGTATTTGACAAGAAAGCACATTATCATCAACATCATCATCAATTAACTGCATATTTTTATTATATTAGCTACTAAAGTATTATCTAATTAAAAATCAATTTATTTACGTTTAAGCCTATTGCAGACTAATGTAAACCTACTATTACCGATGATTTGATTATTATCTCCACCTAATTCTAAATAATAACTGCTTCGAAACATGCTGGATTGTAAAAGGTAAAATTTCAATATCAATAGAATCGACTTTTACAGTATTTGTGGAAGGTCGATAAATAGGAAACCAAATTAATGTGCACGGCATACATTTACGTATTTTATTGTTAATCGATATTGCATCGATATTTGATAAAATAAAATAGGGAAATACAATATATTATTACATATATTAACTGTTTTATTCCACACCTCAAAAAAAAAGGAACCTTTACAGGATCACTTCGTTGTTCGTCTGTCTGTCTGTCTGTCTGTCAAGATCCTTTTTCTCAACGTGGAGGTATCAAGTTGAAATTAATATCAAATACTCAACTGTGTAGATACGACTGCTAATGCCATATATTTTGATATTCGCAAAGGAATTATAATCTAGAGGGTACTTCACGTTGACCTAATATATCAAGAACCAATAAGAATAAGTAAACAGAAAAATATGGAAACCGTAAATTTATAGTTATATCACAAAAACATATTTTTTTAAGGAAACTTTTTAAACATAATTTTCGAAACGCTTGTACGGAACCCTCGATGCGCGAGCCTGACTCGCTCTTGACTGATTTTATTTTGTTTAAACTTTATGTAGTAATGACTGGCCTGTTGTTTATTCAAGAAGAGAGGTAGAATAAAGTTTTATTTTTAGTTATTACTTATACTCATGATTACTTAGTGTAAAGGCCTTTTCTTTTTGTTTAATTTTGATCACATAAAGAATAAAGTTTTTTTAGAAAAAAATAGAAAAATTTGGCATTTGCTAACGTGTTATAACTACTCAGTTATCTAACCGTACAAATATGTGTTGTAATCAATTTAAGGAAGAAGTTCAATACATTGGTCAAAAAAAATATATATAATTATAGTCAATTACATTTAGCATGAAAAACTACAAAAAAGCGAATCAATAAATTAATACAAAAATGATAGTTAATGATATACTATGTACCCATAAGGTTTACGAATTTCCGTTTTTGTACCGATTTAGTGCCTGACGTTTATTTTTAATACCAAATGATTAGCAAAACATGGGGTCATAGCTCAGAGAAGTCGTTAAGATAATGATATAAAAAACATGCGTAGAACTTTTAAAGAGTTTATCTTTCTGTTAGGTTCAGTTCTTTTAAGTAGTGATCAAATTTTGTTTTGTTCTGTTTTGTGATGACACCTACAATGAATCAATTTTATAAAACGGTAAGAATGAGCTACGAAATACAAAATAATTTTATTGTTTTTATTTATTTAAGTCATTGTGTGGTTAAATAATGTGGTGTGGTGTCAATAAAAACGATTTTTGTAAAGGAAATGTATATAGCCATTGTTATTGTTAACATGTCATCGTTATTATCTATCCTATAGTTATACGCGCATTATTTGCTTGTTTGTTTGTAATTGCGTTTTCGAAAATGGCCCCAACGACATTGAGGAAATTTACAGTACGAGGGTTGATGTTTTTAAATTCTATTTAGGCCTCATTTCTGAGAAAATTCGTTTTCTCTATGTTTTCACGCAATACGCAACAAGCTTGACTATCCTGTGCAGTAGAATTTGTAATTTCGAGACAGATACCATTTTTCAAAAATAGCCAAATAACTAGAGCGTAATTCTACCATGCGGAAGTGCGAGAAAGTTCGAATTCTGCAACGCGATCTGATTTTTTTAGTTTTTTTTTTTAATGATAATTAATAAACTGAGTTCATTCGCCCAGATATTTGTTGTTTATTCATATAAATAAGTGATTTTTATGAATCATTCATGAAAAAGTGCAAGGCAAAATAGCCAACAACTTTATATTTTGAACGAACTACAGGGCTGATTTGTTTTTTATGTATTTGAGGTATATTTAGTGCAGTCACGATCCGAAATCAAGGTTCATTAATAATGACATGAAAAACCAGGCTATTTAGAAAGCACTTGAAGACTTTTGGATTAGTATAAACAAGTCTATTATTTTCAAATGATTTCCTGTATACATACAATGAATACAAGGCTAAGTAGCTAGTAAAGTCATGCAAAAAACAAATAAATCGAGTAACAATTTGAAATAAATAAACATTTATGCGTTTTAAAAAAGTTAAGGACTTTAAAGATTTTTTTATTTAAACTATTATAATTTTCCGGGTCTTCTGGGCCGTGGTCTAGAGGCTGGTTTGTTGCTGCCTAACGTTTCGTCATTCGACATCTTCAGAGGTGCTAAGGACGGTGCGGTAGATTTCTATCTCGAAATGTTCTTATCGGCTGCCTGCTGTTGTGTATGTCAGTGAGAATACTTCGAGATAGAAATCTACGTCCTAGTCGTTAGCACCTCTGAAGATGTCGAATGACGAAACGTTAGGCAGCAACAGACCACGGCCCAAAAGCCCGGAAGATTATAATTACTTTACATACCGCCGGCCGTGAAAGCCTATACGCCTTTATATTTTTTATTAATATGAGTAATCCATTCATACAGGTAATTCTTCTAATCGTATGCTTATACTGGATGGGGACCGTCACAGGCTACAGCATCGATAGAAACATTTACCAAGTGGACAAATCTAACGACAGACTTCAGAAATATCAGGGATTATCCTTTGAAGAGAAAGTATTTCGTATAGTAAAATATAATCCCTCAACAACTTCAGCATTCCCTCTTTTCGACTACATGATGAAAGATAATGAAATAGAAGAAGAATCTCCTAAACCGCAAGTCTATTACAATGCACACCAGTATGGACCGTACCTTCACAATGAGCGTGATCAACAAATAATAATCACACGTAAATAAATAAAAGGAAACTGTGCCGATATACGCATATAAAACAATAATTTATTCGCTATACACGTATTCATAAAAGTACTATAGAATGTGATACGGGCGGTCTTTGACATTAGATGTCCATTATATTTATCACTTTTTTATTAGAAAATTATCAAACTCAATACGGTAACTTCACATATTAGATTAATATGCTTATTAAGCCAGGATGTAACAGTTAACAAAAACACTTATTTTTATAATTTAACAAATTGTAAAATACGTTAAGAAAAATGAATAAATTTCACGCCTTCTTGGTGAAGCACTTTGAAACTATTTTTGTATTATGAAACCAGTTACTTGAAGTATTTCACAATTTTTACATGATAAGCTACCGGCAACATTGTCCGTGTGAATATTTTTTCAGCGTTAACTGAAGTGTCGGATTGTGTTTAGGTTTCTTATGTAAAATTTGAATATGGGTTTCTTGGAGAATTTCTTTATTAATTTAACATTGTGTAGTAATCTAGTGTAGCATTTCGGGCATTAGTTCTACTACTATTATTTGTTCTTCTTTACTGATCCATTTATTATATTATTCTCCAAGAACAAAACGTTTTTAGTCATTGAAATTTTCAGTTTAATTTACTAGATTTTAGCATTAAATATAAATTTTTGGTATGTTCATGTTTAATATTTGTGTTTGGTATATAAATAGCTTTTGTAAATGTGGTAGGTTATTTTCGTTTTCTTGATGGTTACTATAGTATGATGTCAGGTCTGTTGTAAGTAGTTGTGTTGACTGAAATTATGTCTCTATTCCAGAAAAATTTGTCTGTATGTTTATCTAGTTATCTAGTACATTGGAGGATGATGATGATTATAAAGGCCAAAGTAGCGTAAACCAATACATTAGAGGATCAGTTCAGGAATATAACGAATAGCGCGACGCACTCGTTTAGAGATCGAGCGGCATGATCTAGAGATCTAGACTAAAGGTTTAGGTCGTGGACCCTATTTCGATCCGATACCCGACGGAGCCGGCACTTTTTTTAGGATCCGGCCAGGTATCGGACAATGGAGCCGGGCTGTTCCACTAGAAAAAAAAAAATAAAAAACAACACGAGCAATAATAATTTAATAAGTATAACAAAAAACTTATCGACATAATGGAAACTGGGGTAGGTCGTTTGTTCTATTATTTATTGATTACTTACATACACCTAATACAATATCAATAAATCATACCTAATAATTGGCAAACACAGAAAAATTACTAATTTTTTTGGCAGTTCTGTAGCACGTACGTAAACACCAGCCGTCCCTGATTTTGTTGTCTATTTGCTGCACTTACAAATGCATACACACTCTTGTTACGTATTAGATGTAGGTGCCATCTCCTAAAAGCTATGTCTCTCTAAAATTCTTGTATATTAGGTATTTACAAATGAGTTATATTTGAGAAGGTAAGCAAGAAAAGAAGAATATTTTAAATGTCATGATGCCATGATTAAAGGTATGCATATATATATATATATATGTCCAGAAGAAGACGTAGTGAGAAATAAAACGGTCAAAGTCAGACTATGTTAATCTGTGTCTAATTCGATTAGCCTTTGGATTTGCACGGTGCAGAGAAGTGAATTGTTGTTAAACAGATTTTTTTGCGCTTCTGTAACAGAAGAGTGCATCTTTTTATTTAAAGTAGACGTTACTGCAACTATTACACCAAAAAAAGTAAGTAAAAGATTGCTTTTTAAAAATTAAAAGAAAAACATTAGCTAATAAATAAAATTGAGATTAATTTGTTAAATTGTTGTTGAATACTTATAATTAACAATAAATTAAT